TCAGGGCCTGATTACATGAGCCGAGCTGGCCCGGTTAGCCGGGCTGATTTCTTTTGTTTTCACGCTTTGGCGAACACCAAAACAAAAGAAATCAGCCCGGCTAACAGGGCCAGCCCGGCTCATGTAATCAGGCCCTAAGTCTTTCTCCCACGCTCGTGAAGAAATGAATGACACGTTTTCGTACCGAGAAAACCTATGGCAAATCGAATTGACCGAATAATTGGCCACTACTGACTGACGCGATAACGCCTGAAACGTCAGCTTAGGAAACTCTGCACGATAGCAAAATTATATTATCAATTCAATTGAGAAAATCAAATCATGTAACGTAAAGTAACGTTGCATGTATCAAGTAGTCCCGAAACCACGAACCAATGGAAAGAAAGGACCTCCTGGCGTCGTCAATGACAATCCATCAAGATTTTCCCGCGAAAAGTACCGCATAACAGTCAGGTTTTTTTTTTTTTATCTCGCTCTGTTGAACCCAGGGACTGCTCTCTAATTTTGATTTCTATTTTTTATACACGGGAAAAGACTTTTCACCAGCAGGAACTTTCACGTGTGAATTTTGTCAAGTGCGCGATGTAAACAAAATATGCAAATAACGTGAAATTGCCGCGTGTATTCCCCCAGGGGTTCGCCCATTTACGAGATTATGACTGATTTATCAACTTTTAATTAAAAATACGTTTTCCTAAATAAGTCGGACGCTTTTTGAGATTTGAAATTTTTTCGTTTTGTAAACGTTAGGTAAAATATCGAACTTCAATCTAGTTCAAGAAAAGAAAAAGCGATTTTTTTCCGCTTCTGAAGGTGGTAAGTAACTTTAACTCCGTTTTTCGCCGGTCGACGTAATTTAAGTTGACGAGTTATTACGAATCACCACGGGTTCCTTCGTGCACGTGTTGTCAAGATCGGTCAGCGGGAAAGTGAGGGGAATACTCCAGCAAGGTAAATACAATCAATATGTGTTATTTAACGACGCTTTCGCCTTTGCCTTCGAGTCATCGTTATGTAATGGCGACAAAGGGTCGTTGTCTTTTCCACTGGCCCGGAAAAAGGTGAACCATTTCTAATGAACCTCGAGGAATGTCATCCGATAGTTCTCTATTTAACCGACTGCCCCGGTCATTGATAGAGAAATTTCCCTTTCTTTTTCGTTATCGAGGAAACGGAAATAAACCCTTAACGCACCCCTAAATCTTAACTTTATTCTGCTTAAAACTACCACTTCAAATGTTATGCTGTATTCGATCGAAAGCAAAACTAGCTTGGAAGCTTAACACTCACAACTGTTCTGTGCGGTTATCATACAAATCGGGGCCGCTGTGTGCAGAAAATGTTGTATCTCCGTACTTGCTCTCTTTAATTCTACTGAAAATTCAAACATCTGTCGTGAATACAATTAGGATGAAAGCCAAATGTTATGTTCATAACAAATTTTTGGACCCATCTCTCATTTTGCCTCCCCACCCCTCTCTCCTTGTAATTGATTAATTCATGGTTGGGAGCATTGTAAGGAGATGCTTGGTAAATATTACAAATTGTGTGTGGTGCAGAACTTGTTGATTTTCCTTCTAGGATTTTCTGTAATAAAGCTGGGCATTTATTTTTCAGGACATTGTGGTGGTTTTAGCTGGTTTGCTGTCATGGCTGAGTTAGAACTGAAGAATGACATTCCAGAAGCCAAAAAATCCTTAATTTCAACTAAGATAGGTACACACAATGGAACCTTTCACTGCGATGAAGCCCTTGCTTGCTTTATTCTGAAACAGCTTCCAGAGTATAGGCATGCTGATATTGTCCGGACCAGAAATCCGGAACAGCTTGCAAAGTGTGATGTTGTGGTGGATGTTGGGGGTGTGTATGATCCAGAGAAACATCGATATGACCACCATCAAAGGTACATTAACTAGTTATCCTAAAAGACAAAGAAATAGGGAGATTTATATTCAATTTTTTTTTAGGATAAATTGAACTCTGCTGCTCTCAGCAGTGTATTACTGATGAAATATGCATATGACCCACTGATCTTTCTTTTCTGATCTTAAGTCATTAGACAAAACTTGGGATGCTCAGTAAAAATAAAATAATGAATAGATAAATACAAGTGTTTGAAAGTGAATAAAATATACACACATACAATGATAGATCAGTGTTTATCCACAAGCTTTTTTTCTCGATAGGAGCTTTACAGATTGTATGAACACTCTCTGTTCGAGTAAACCATGGGTGACAAAACTTAGCAGTGCCGGGCTGGTTTATCTCCATTTTGGACATCGGTTGATCTCACAAGTGTTAAAATCCAAAGAAAATGATGCTGTGACAGATAAGATTTACGACAAAATCTATGAAAATTTCATCCAGGAAATTGATGCTATTGATAATGGAATCAGTCAGTGTGACGATGAACCACGGTATGCAAAACACTGGTTACTTGTAGACAGTATTTAACTTCTCCTTACAATATCACCCCTGGATCAAACATTAAGGTCTTGAGAATAAAGGAAATGATCACCAACCAAAGAAGCTCCTGATTGTTAAACAAATTCTCCTTGTCAGCTACTTAGCAAATGTATAGAGAACAGTATGGAGAATATGCATACTCAGTGTGATGTTAGGTTGTAAAGGGTTATCCTTTGAATGGTGCAACAGGGTTGTTCCTTGAATACCTTTTGATTTGAGGGTTAGGATCCAAGGGAGGGAGGGGTGAGTGGGACCTGAAAGACTCAAGTTGTATAAGTCAGTTGTGATTAATCATACATACATACACACACACACACACACACACACACACACACACACATACATACATACATACATACATACATACATACATAGATACATACATACATAGATACATACATACATACACAGATACATACATACATACATAAATACATACATAGGTTAGTGAAGGTGTAGTCTGATCGTCCGGGTGAGTGTAGTCCTGAGAAGGACTGTTGTCGGTGGTAGTGACACCGACAATCACCGACAATCACCGACACCCACCCCCGGGTTCAAACCATTTACTGCATACATAGGTTAGTTGGCCACTCCCCATGGGGGCTTTTCAGGACGAGTTCCCACCCATCCCAGCCCAGGGGAGGACAATTACGACACAGTAATCTCGTGCGTGGGAAATTAACTTCTTCTACCCCTAACTCTGCAGGGGACGGGGCCTACGGTTTATTCGTCCTTATCTGAGAAGACTAGAATATCTATCCATTTCTTGATTATAGAAAGGTAGCAATTTCTCCTCACTTATTTTAAGACCATGAGTATTGGTCCGGCCGGGGCTTGAACCCTCAACCTCCCACACAACACAATCTGGCGCTCTAACCAATTGAGCTAACCGGGAGGCGGTTCACAACTGACTTGTGCTTCTTTAGCAAGCCAAGAAATTTGACCAATCAGTTTTCACAAACCAGACTTACACTCCACAAACAGTCAAATCCTCAATTACTTAGATGTTGACTTCTGTTCAAATTGGTAAAGCATATGTGTGATTCTCATTTTTTTATATTTTTACAGTACCAAATAATTTTTGATATTTTATGGTGTTTAATTGATGTTTTCTTGATAAAACAGGTATTGCATTACAACAAACCTGAGCTCTCGGGTTTCACATCTTAATCCAACCTGGAATGATACAAATCCAAATCCTGAGGTTGGTATTCTACAATGTCAAAATGTGATTTTCAGATTATGATCTTTCTTGTTGTTCATATCAAAAGCCTTTCAACTTGTTTCTTTTCCTCTATAGCTACAATTTCAAAAGGCTGTGAATTTAGTTGGAGAGGAGCTGTTGAAGAGAATTTGTTATTACCGGGATGCATGGCTTCCAGCAAGGAGTTTGGTAGAAGCAGCCATAATGAAAAGAAAAGAGGTTAGCTTTTGGTGAAGTTCTTGTCCACTTTAAGTTAATGACTTTAAAAGAAGTTATTTAATTTTTGGTCACATGCTCTTGCTGCTAGCTTGTGCCAAATGAAAAAATTATCATCAATGCAGTCAATAAATCAGTTTACTAAATGACCAAGATATAATTTATCCTTACAACATCAACATTACTGCAAGCAGACAACTGATGGTAACAAAGAAAAATATAAATTAGGAGATTATTAGCTGATCCAATACCAAATTCTCTAAACTAACAGCACAAGAATTGTGTGGCATGGAGTAAGGAGAATTACAAATGAGATCTTGACAGTGAAGAGTTCAAAATATTTCAGGTAAATGGATACCTTAACATACAGTGCCCCTTATCGGGAGAAAAAGAAGAAACTGTTGAGTATAAAGTGAAAAAAAAAAATTAATTGATTTGTAATTTCTCATGCAAGGTTGATCCAAGTGGAGAGATCATTGAGCTTCAAGGAGGGGGTTGCCCATGGAAGGAGCACTTGTTTGAATTAGAGAAGGACTTGAACATTGATGTACCAATAAAATTTGCCATATACACAGACCAAAACAACAACTGGAGGGTGCAGGTGAGTTTGATATTTATGGATGAATGATCCCTTCCCTCCTCAAATCAATTCATAATGCATAAAATGATAATTGTTGCTCATGGGAGAGAGGGTTACACTTGTAGATAACAGGTTATAGCCCCTTCCTCAACTTCCATCTTCTCCTTGCCATGTTACCCTGAGTTACAAGGTCTTCAAGCTAAGTCACTTGGTGTTGACGCATAGCTGTGTACAAAAACTTGCCACCAACATTGATTTGGGGAGGTAAATATGGATCAAAGTTTACTTGAAGTATTCTTAGTTTTATCTGAGTAGCCATGGTTTAGGTGACTGTTCAATACATTGAAGGATATAAAGGATGACTGCAAAGAAAAAAAAAGGTGAAAATCACAGTGGTTAAGGGGAAAAAATTGGGTTTTTGGAAACCAACCATTTAAAATAGGGTTGTAATGTATGCTTATCTTTGGCGCACTTGTAATTATGTGAGCCTCGTTATCAGAGAGAGAAAAACCGGGCCCCATCTTGATAAACAAAAACTCAAAGCAGTTAGTCCTAAAGTTGTGTTTATTTCACTTAAACCAACCTGAATAAATACACTACAAGGGTGACTACTTAATATGGTGCCACTTAATCACGTTTGACTGTATTTATAGCTACCAAGGCTTTGGTTCTCTTTTCTCTTCTCCCTTGTTATCAAAGTTTTAACAGTTATGAAACAATAATAATAATAATAACTTTTATTTATATAGCACTCATATCTTAAATTCATGGCGCTTTACAACACTGTACGGGGGACTTTACCAGACTGCTAAGCAGTTTACAATCAAATAAAGGTGAATATAACAGATGCCCCCTCCCCCCAATTCCCAGTAAACAGGCCAGACCACATCACAGTAATCTCATGAAGTGGGTTCTTTAACATCCCCTGCCTAACCAAATCAACTAATTAATAGATGCAGGAGATGGGACCTCCGAACGAAATGTTATGGTAAAATAAAATTTGGAATAAAATTTTCAATGTATTCTCTCTACAGTGTGTTTCAGTGCGTCCTGATTCCTTTGTTAACAGGTATGTTATGGGTCAATTTTAAAATAAAAGAAACTGTGAAATGAAATATTATGGTCCTGCCTATGACCAAATCTCTTCAATCTGTTACTTTTTCAGACTTAGCTTGTTAGAAGAATGGCATGGAATAAGAGATGAACAGCTCAGTTCTGTAAGTGGAATAAAAGGATGCATATTTGTTCATGCTAGTGGTTTCATTGGAGGAAATGAGACAAGAGAAGGAGCTCTAGAAATGGCAAGAAGGACTCTACTGCACCGAGACAGCTTTGCAAATGGAAAGTGCAACTCTGATCCAGAACTAATGCTAGTTGAAAACAAAGAAAAATAACATTGTACTTGCTGAGTGAAAATATAAAAATACAATGTCATCTGTGTAATACTTTGCCATTATTGATGTGTGTGGTGTTAAGACTGCACCTTGTTTAAGAAAGTTTCTAAACAACCACTAACAAAAAACATACATTCACCATGGAATTGTATGTTTTGCTGAAAGAGGAACCTTCATGAAGTAAGCCTGTGTGGCAGCTTTTATTTAAAGAAAAAACTTTCCTCATCAACCTACTTCACAAAATGTGAATGTCAATTTATTTTCTTTATTTTGAAAGAGAAAAGAGACTCACAGATGTAAATAAATTATGAATAACAGCTCTGCTCCTAAAAGTGATGAGCATCTAATTTTTCCCAACAGTATCAATCAAACATTTAGATTAGGAGAATAAAGAAAATGATTGCAAACTCCAAGAGGTTCTTGAATGTGAGACAAATTATCCTTGTAAATACCATAGAAAATGGATAGAGAACAGTATAGAGAATAGGCATTCTCATGCTACAATGTGGAGGGTTAGAATGATACAGTAAACACCCGAAATTAATGAACCTTATTTTTTGGCAGTCTGGCAAAAAAGGTTCTTGTTTAAAGGGGTAGTTGTTGGTAATTTTGGCAAAACAGGTTCTTAATTTAGATGTGAATGCAGTCAGTGTTACAAATATCTAAAAAATGTGAGACACACAGGGTAAACTAGCTTTTGCAAAAGCAAATTTGTGTTTAAATTACTTCTTAATTGACATAACAGTATCCAAAGGCAATACATTAATTCATAATCAATAAACTCTTCTAAAATACTAAGCGGCCATGGGATAATTTTAAAGTTGTAAAAATCTTCCATTTCTGTTTTTCAAAATCAACAAATACTCTTAAATTACATTTTCATCTTTACTACACCCTCTGACTTTCAAACAAAAATATAATTACCTTTGGTATAGCCTAAATATATCCTTCAAAGTAATGCCCTATAAATATGAAACAACTTCTGGGCCTTTTTCATGATAAATAAAAGAAACCAAGTTGGTAAAAATAAAAGTTTGCTCTGGCCATTCCTCTTTAGTGAAAGACTTCTTTAGCTCGCATGTTTTGTTACCCATTTCAGGTCTCAAGGAAATTTTCAGCTTTATCTTTTGTAAATTATGTGCACATATGCACAAGAATAATGAAGAAATTTGAAAGACACAGTTATGTAATGGAGTATCATCCCATGACCTGAAACAGGTAAACAACAGATACATCAGTGCAAAAGAGGTCTATCACCTAACAGCTAATTACTGACTTGGAGGAAAATCCATCTTTTCTTGGTTGCTCCTCCACATTCCACAAAGATTAAAAGTCAGCACTGTGCAAAAACTAGGTGTAAAAAATCAATGCTGATTTAAAATTTTCAATATCATGCACTTAATAAGCTCTTTACCTGTTTGACAAATTTATGTCTAGGAACCAAGAACGTGATGTGGGGAAAGATTTTTAACTAGAGGATATTGTTTGATCAAATAGCATATTCCTAGAGCTCAAATCATAAAATGGATGGAAAACAATGTGGAGAGTTGATATTTGGATCTATAGGGAAAAAGGGTTAATAAGAATCAATTTGAAGTAAGTTTTTATGGCACTGCTGTTAATACATCTCGCTTCTTGTTTTCAAAATTATGATCAACAAAGTCTACATTAAAACTTTGAAATCTTTCAAACTAACAAAACTTTTGGATATTTCAGAACACTTTCAGCCATAGCTCCACAGTATGGGTCAGACACAGCTTTCATATTTTCTTCTAAACTCTTCAACAGCAATCTTTTGTCATCACCAGGTTTAAAGTCTCTCATAGCCATGAAGATTGCTTTAAAGAATAGTTGCTTGTTGTTGTGGTATACTCCTCTGTTACCATGAACTACTGAAATGCCCTTGTTACTGGCCACCCCACAGTTGTTTCCATACATGCAGTGGTCTGGGCGATAGTTCCAATCACATGTATAGGTGTATAGTAACCCTGAAGAAAAAGAATTTCCATGGTAGGTGAAGAATGTAAACAAAGTGACAAGTAAGTATCCTACCACCTGAATGAAAATGACTCGAGCTCAAGAAGTTGTTATCTAAATCTAACATCAAATTCTTATAATTAATTTACAAGGAAATGTATAATAGCAACTAAAGGAGATATAATTATAATAGTTCCGAGAATTTGGTATTGGATCAACTAATAATCCCCTACTTGATACTTTTATTTATTCTCTTCACTTGTCTGCCCGATAATGTGGTGATATTGTGAGGAGAAACTATGTCACCCATAAGAGTAAAAGGATTAGAGGAGCACTCTGATGAAACCACCCTATAATTTGAAAACTTGAAAAATTCAGTTATTTTCATTATAATATGAATTTTTAGCGATTAATAACGCCCTTTCAATATTAATTTTAGTTGAAAGTCAATTATAGGGTGAGAAATTATGATTTGAAAACCGTTCTGCCATTAATTTTCGTAATCATTTGCCAGACTCAAGAAGACTGGCATGAGTTTGGAGATTACTCATTTGACGTGCCGTGCTCGTGGCTGGTTTTCAAAAACAGTATTTTGATTGTATATATTGCTTTTTATAACACTAAGACTAAAACTAAATTTCACGCGGTTTCTGTATAAAAAATAAAGCATGTTGAGTAATCTATGTCACAATGGGAGTGACCGCTGACCGAAGATAAGTTGGCCGTGATTATGAAAATTAATGGCGGAACAGTTTTCAAATCATAATTTCTCGTCCTAGAATTGACTTTCAACTAAAATTATTATTGAAAAGGCTTTATCAATCGCTGTGGAAGCATGGTGGACTCATGGTTAGTGCGCTCACCTCCGGATCGAGTGGTCCGGATTTGAGCCCCGGCTGGGACATTGTGTTGTGTTCTTAGGCAAGACACTTTACTCTCATAGTGCCTCTCTTCACCCAGGTGTATAAATGGGTACTGGCAATTTAATGCTGGGGGTAACCCTGCGATGGACTGGCATCCCATCCAGGGGAGAGTAGAGATACTCCTAGTCACTTCATGCTACAGAAACTGGATGGGCCAGTAAACAGTAATCGCTAAATATTCATATTATAATGAAATAACTGAATTTTTCGGGTTTTCAAATTATAGGGTGGTTTCATCAGAGTGCTCCTTTAAAACATGTAGTATAAAAAAATGAGGCATTTACCAGGATGAGCATGGAAGACAATATTCAAGAGATCTTGATCTCCCCATGTTATGCTGGGTTTGTACTTGTGGTATGCTTCTAGAATCTTTTTTGTCCAGTCAAATCCCCGCATTCGTGTCAAATTCATGAGCATTACTCCAGAATTCATTCCATTTTCCCCATAAAATGGATGACGGGCAAACCTTGGATACCAGGACAGTGCCTTTTCCTCACTCTCTGGTGCCATCGAGGCAAGCTGCACATTATCAAAATGTTTTAAATGGTTCCAAAGATCTTCCACTGGTCTGAGCATAAGGACATCTGTGTCTAAGTACAGGACGCTATCAACAGAATGTAACACATCCTGGGAAAATTAAAAAAGACTTTCCAGTAGTATCATTTTCCTTGATTAGAGGAAGTTTGTAAGAAACAATCCTCAGAATTTTCAGTTTACCTCAGTGTAAGAATCTGTAAGGTTTTACTTTGTTTTGTAATATTTTTTCCCTAGGTGTAATTGTTTGACTTGTCTAAGTATGAGAAGCTAAACTAAATGAGCTGCAGGAGAAATCTTTGCTCCAGTAATCTCACTTGCTACGCAAAACAAAAGAGATCACTGTGATACTGGTAAAATATACTTACCAGAAGAAATAATCTTTGTGCTGCACATGGCTTGAAAAGTCGTTTCCACTCCTCAGCATCTTCTCCAGAAGGAAAGTGTAAAGAGTAAAGTTTGAATAAGACTTGACCAGACTTAACAGAGAACCATTTCCTGAAAATGGTTTTCAGTTCAGCATGAAGGTTATCTTCTGCAACAACATGAAACTGAATAGTTCTATTTGTGAATAAAGTGGTCGACTTGAGCATTGTTGTTGCTTCCACAGACCGCTCTCCACAAATCACAGAACTTACATGAATATCAGAAGAGGGTGAGATAGATATTCTGTGGAGAAAATACAAAATCTTTCACCATTCAACCCATAAGAGTGACTAGCATCTTATTTCTCCCTACCATATCACCCTTGAATCAAACATTAGTAATCAAAGTTTAATGTCTTTATGTGGGGCATGGTTACCCCTGTTGCCCAAGCCAGAGGCTCATATATGAAATGCAAGACAACAACCCACCCATCCCACCCCAGGGGAGGNTTGTTTACAATCACAATCAAATATTTAACCCCTTCAACTCCTATATTTGACCAAGACAGATTTTTCCCTCACAATATCAAAACAAAATCAACCAAACAAATGATGGGAATAAAAAAATATATCATTCAGTTAGTTGATCCAATATTAAATTCTCTAATAAGAATTCAGTTAGTTGATCCAAAAATATCAATCAGTTGGTTGATCCAATATCAAATTCTCACAACTAACATCATAAGAATTGTATGGCAGACAGTAAGGAGAATTGCTAATGAGATCTTAGGAGTTAAAAGGGTTAAGGAGAACAATTGTGTCAGTTGTTAAGATGATTTTAAGAGATTCCTGCTAGCTTTGGATAGCAAAAACTTTTGTCCTCAACAATGTTACCATACCGTGGTGATCTCTAGCATGCAAAAACTTATATGCTTTGGTGAAGTGGTCATATTGTGTTGTATTTTTCAATATTACTCTCAGTGGCAGATCCAGGCCTTGAGCCAGGGGTGGTTTTTTTTGTATGTGTACACCTGCTAGCTTTACTTCCTTCTGTGTGTTTATTTTTTTACCCAAAATAATAGGGTGCCAGCCCCCCCTGCTGCTTCTCCTCTAGATCTTCCACTGACTCTTTTCTGCTAAGAATGACTACTCATTCTAGTTTTTATGTAGTCTTTAAGAGTTCAGTTGACATAAAGATATGATTAAATTAAATGAAAAAGAAAATATTCCCAAGGTTTTCACTTTATATTTCTTCATTCCATTAGACCCAAATCTTATTTGAACTGATTTTGAGGATTGTATATCCCTATTCACAATGTTAAACAATACATTATACTACAGCCATGTCTTCTCATTTCTGGGTTATATTGTTCATGAATGTCCCCTTGGCACTCTATCTTGCGATCCCACCCTTATGTACAATGTACTTCCTGCTGGAATTTTCATGAGTTGACAAATGGAAAATCCTCTCACTGCCAGAACAGAATACTTGCAGCCATAGCTAAACAACAAACAGCTACATATGGACTTTTTCTTTCACCTGTTGGAAAAATAACAAAAGATCAAATTATAGGTCACCAGCAAAAGCCCATTTCCAAATTGTCTTAGGCCTCTTTTTGAAAGCAAGCCCCTCTGCTTATCCTTTCAAGACTATCCAATTTCTCCTTGCATTATCCCCCTGAATCAAACATCAAGGTCAGGAGAATAAAGGAAATGATCACCAACGAAAGCTCTTGATTGTCAAACAAATTCTCCCTGTCAGCACTTTAGGAAATACATAAAGAGAGTATAAGGAGAATACGCATACTGATGTTTGGGTGTAAAGAGTTCAGATAGCTTGCTGTCTAGGAGATATCTTAGCCAAACAGTTTTTAGTGTGAGACAAATATTAAATGACAAAGATCTGAGTACGAGTTCATGAGAAGCAAACCAGATTACATCGAGTAAAGTTGGTAAGCAGCAATCTGTATTCTGTGAACTGCGCCTATATTATAAACAACTCAGCTTTAACTGGCTCGACACAAAATTTGTATGAAAATGAACAAAACTTTGATGGGCTTGAATAATGAAGTGATTATTTTCTACACATCTCAAAATTTCTCACAGAAATCTTTACCTCTTATTCGGTTTATAGTTGACCTGTTGTCTTTCAGGTTCTGATTTTCTGTTCGATGGGACTGTCGCGACGTGATCAGTAATTCCATCGTAACTATTTGATGACTCTTTGGCGTTTGGCAAATCTGCATCGGTCTCCTTCACATATGAAGTCAACAAAACAAATTCCAAAAGAACTACGAGAACTAAAACTATGCCAAGTGCAACTGCTATCTTGGAGAAAAATTTAAATCCCATCTGAAGTTCATGGCGTGAAAATACAACAACCTGGCGGAACGAAAGCGGAAGGTAAATAAATCATCTGACTTAGTAGCCGCTCCTACTTTGTAACCACACCTTAGGCAAGTTTCGTTTACGCTTCACATGGAGTCTTGATGTTTTGACTTTAACAGGTCGAATTTTGTCAAAATTAGGCACGAGGTAACGTCATTTTTCTCTTAATAAGCCATCGTTTGGTAGGTTTTAGTCTTAATTTTTGTTTTATGAGCTTACTTCTTTGAAAATAAGGTAAAAGGTGAAAAAACTTGAGCGAGCCACATGCAAAGTAGGCAACGTGTAGGAATCATGAAAATGGCTTGGTTTTTCCCGCTCTAGGAAAGTGCTTCATGTTCGCTGTCTTATCTGCCTACATGTTAGTTGAGAGGTGATACTTAGACTTTTGAACCCCTTATGTGAAAAGTTGGGTTGTAGAACACTCTATTTCCTCCAAGTTATAAATGCGTTATATAACGATTTGGGTTTTCAATGAAGATGAAAGCGCCAAATATGCAAAATTTCGTAACGTTTGCCACGGCTCGCCGAAGACACGTGTTGGCGAGAGAATCGATATCTAGGCCATCTGACATCTCCGAATCAACAGATTTAGTTCGACTAACATCTTCTGATGTATTATAAGGAAACCCTTTTCGACTCACGTTATTGAAATCTAATCTGGGCTATGAAAGTGATGCAGTAGCCCCTCGTTGAATCTACTGCTGAGTACCAACGAGTCTTGTTTACTTGCAGCAGTTTTCTAATTAATGATTTAAAATTCCTTTGCTGTCACAATTTAAGTAAAAAATCTCAGGAATAACTGCACTCTGCCGAGGTTTGCAGTATTCTCTGACGCCCCGTACCTCTGCAAAGTAGAGGAGGATCTGAACTATGTTTAAGTTAGAGAAAAACATGGCGTTATACTTTCATAAACTCTTAATTGTTTAGCCGAACCATTTAGCAAGACAGAGAGTAACAATCAGAATATGAGGATCCTCAATTAAACTTAAGATACTTTTGAGATTTATTAACCACAAAAGAGATGTACACACACTTGGTAAAAGTATGTCTTCACTCTTTGAGTGTGACTCTAAATCCAGAGGTTGGAAAATTCTGATCTCATGCCAGCTCAGCTATGCCTGCTGACCTATCTCTTGTACCTGCCAGAAAAATTCAAATCATCATAGCTGTCTTTGACATTTTTTTTAATGCTCTTAGATCAACATGAGCAAAGACAAGTCCATGAAAATAATTCTAACTTTTCTAATTTTTCAAGACACCAATTTTTGTAACACCTTTGGAATATTACAGCATCGGACCTCTTTGGATGTAATCAGGTTCTCTGCATAGGATGCAAGAAATCTGAGAGAAAATTCCAACATGTTTGACTAAAAACAGTTAGAAGGTATACATGCCTGTGTTTTACCTTAATCTGTTATCTTTGTCTAGATCCTGACCAGCCTATACAGTACCTCCTTCACCTGCACACAGGTAATAGAGGAGTTCAAAAATAGTTGACTGCAGATCAAGTTAAAGATGCAGAAAGAGGGACTGAATGTAGAGACTGCAGATTACCTCACCTCACTCCTTCAGAGGTATGATGCTACAGAGGGTGGGCTCCCCCCACAAGCAATTCTCCCACCTATACCAGTACCAGTTCAGAGAGAAAATCCAGGCCCACCATCTCCAAATGAGTTTCTTGTGCCAGCTGTGATTCTTTGGGATCCTTTAAGCCAAGTCCCCAGCTTGAAAGAGCTAGCATGCCCACATGAAATCCATGATAGTGAAGTTTGTCCATTAAGAGCCCATACCAGCAACAAGAACAATTATGGGCGGTGGAAGGCTTCTAGAGGAACTCAAGACATTCCAAGAGCCCTTTATTGCTGTGATGGTAACACGCTTTTGGTGAGTCGTCTGTACACTTGCAAGAAAGGTCACAAGATCATTTCTCATGATCCACGACTCATGGAGAACATCCCACCAACATTTCAAATCCCATTCTACCTGTTACACAGAACAGGTTTCACCCATGAGTTAGCCACCTGGGTGCATTCATGTGTATTTGCTGGCATGTCATTTCATGAAATTGAAGAAGTTCTGACACAGAGGCATCGTGATGCATACGAGGAGCGTAAATGCAAATATGATGCAGCAGTTAAGGCCTATCGTGAAAGTAATCCTGATGATCACTCTGAAATAGGAACATTTCCAGAATTCAAGACTTCACAGGTGCCATCACTTGAGACCACCATGTCAAGCATTGTGCACATGTTTGAAGGTAATGAGCTCTTCTATATACAGAGGATGAGTGAATGGCCAGCCAAACGCATTACTGCTGGATACTACTTCAAGGTGGCCACAACAATTGGAGAAAAACTAGAAACAGCTGGCAAATGGATCACACATTTTAAAAACATGTATACTGTCATGAATGAGAAAGGTCAAATCATTGCCTGGAAGTTTACCAAAGAGAGGGATCTGAGCGAAGTGAAAGACATCTTAATTGGGTTGCAGCAACGTTTCCTGATGCAAGGCAGACAGCTAGAAATGATTCTTGTGCCAGAGTGTTGTGAAACGCGAGACCAGTTTCATGAAATATTTGGTGCAGATGTCCCTGTCAAATTGGAACTTTCTAAAGCTGTTCATCGAGTTGTCAGGAAAATCCCTGCAAAGAAAAGAGAAGAGCATCAACTGACTAAAGCATGTGTTCGCGACTTTGCCCTGGCCTTACGTTTTCCAACAGACCGGGGTGACGTTCGCCATCAGCAAACTCCTCCACCCGAGGTTGTCACTGAAAACCTTGATGCTTTTGTGGAGGGCTGGAAGGACATCATTGAAGGGAATGAGCGCATCTTAACTCTGGCAGCTCAGAGGCAGATCATGCAGCTACGAACTCATGTGGAAGAAGGATGTTTGTCTGAGATTCCACCCTCTCAGGGAAGTGAAAATGTTGATGAGCTGCACAGCATCTTAAAACCTGTGTTGGAAAGGAAATTCCTAAATGCTGACATGGCCCTAGCTCTTATTTCAACACTTCTGTATGTGTGGAATGAAAGGAGAGCAAATCAGCTTCCCAAAGGAGCCCTGGTGCGGCCAATCTCAAAGTACCGAGGTACTTTAGAAGTCAGTGGATTCTCACCAAGTGCAGAAAGATTTGGGATTGTGAAGAGTGATGAAAATGATGGAAATGATGTCACCTCCTCAGCCAATTATTCATTTGATGTTCTTGCTCTGCAATGTCTGATACTGGATTCCTTTGGTGGAAATAAAGAGCCAGAGATAGAGCAAAGAGGTACTGACAATGGCCTAACCCAGAGCATCCTTAAGAAAGTAATTGCCAGAGCTTCAAATCTTTTTTCAGTGTGGGAGATCCTCAAGACACAGGCTGTGCATGAAGTGTCACTCAACCCTCGACTGATGCACCTGATGGCTTGTTCTTTGATCCTGTTCAGTCGTAACGAATGTGCAATTGATGACAGAGCAAACCATGAAGTACGTCTAAATGAAACACTGCGATATTATCAGTTGATGGTCTTCTCAGAAAAGAAGGATACCACTGAGGCAGATGGATTTTTCACAGCAGTCAGTTCAGGTCTTAACTCCATTCTGAGAAGTGATTTGCCAGAAACTGAATCAGTTAAGCAGCATCTTGCTTCCATTGGATACAATACTCATGTGGGCAGCAGTTTAGAAGAGAATGTCTCTGTTCTGCGACAGCTTATTAGCGATGAGTGGCTCGCATGTGAAGAAGAGTATAGTAAACTACTGGTTTCGCACATGATCAGCTTTTCTGAAGAAGCCCAAGCATTTAGAGATAGAGGATACTTCAAAGGTATGAGATCTCTACTCACACTTTCATGTATAACTCAATGTGAAACAAGTATAGTCAAACCCATGTGTGGCAGTCTTACAATTAGCAAGTGCTTACCTCTGAAATAATTGTAATTCGTGTTCTTAAGCATTCCCAACAATGCTTAAAGGAAGGTGACATTGATGTGGATGTTAATGCTTTAATTGGTTTTAAGTAAAAAAATCAAAAGTTTCTCTCCACAAATAAGGCAAACAAACAATCTTGGAAAGTTAATTAGAGTACATCTAATCTTCTTTTCCAGCTGAGATGTCCAATCTCCTGCCAATTGCTGCAGCAAAGGTTTTAAAAGTGCCAGTCATAGTCTTCACCTCCCTACAGCAGTTTCCTATTGTCCCAGTGGTGCCATCAGATGCCATCATCATTGGTTCTTGTGTGCATGTTGCTTACAATGCAGCTGGTTTTGGAGGGTTTTATGATGTTGGCACTTACGTTAGCAACTCCATTGTGCTACCAAAGCTGATGACTGATCCTTTGGAGAGGCGCAGGGATAGCAGGAAGCGTTACAGGGAGAAGATGGCTTTGATGAAAATTAATCAGCCAGCGAAAAAGAAAGGAAAGAAGCCAAAAATAACTAGTTCTCAAAACAACAACCAGAAGGAAAATGAAACACCAGCAGATCCAAATGATTCTGTTGCTTCACAGCCAAGTGAGGATGTAGATGGCTCTGCAGCTGATGGTTTGGAACAAGAGACATCCGTTGATACACCAGTTGAAAACACAGGTGAGGAGACTTCACTGGATACATCTGGGTTGGAGAATGCTACAGATGAAGGGGTAGAAGCTGCTGCCAACCTCATTGAAATGGCATACAGTGAGGCTGGAGTCAGTGAGGAAACCATGGAAGAGGCTGTTGTAGATAGCGTTATTAAAGATGACATCTTACCAGCTATGGAAACAGGTGCCAATGAGGACCAGACAGTTCCATTGCAGAGTGCAGACCCTCAAGAGGACCAGGCTGTCATGGATGACGGTGAAACAACAACTGAAGTGATATCTGAGGAAGGGCCAGTCAAAGAAGTTGTTACTGAAGATGCAGCTACCAAAGCTTTAGCAGAGGATGCAGTCAGTCCACCAGTTAATGGTGAAATCCAACCAGATCATGCTGAAAGAGGAACACCTGCATCTGAGGGAGCTGTTGAAGTTGCTAACAAGTCTGAAATCGTGATTAGACCCACATCTAGCAGCAAGGTCTCTGTCCAGGGCACAGAAGTGGTTGTGACCATTCAAGAGGGTGTGAACATCCAGAAGCAGACCTACTCCTGTAGCTGTGGCAGAGGAAGTGGAAAGAATGTAAAGCGCACTCAGTTCTGCTTGACTCTAGAAGGTGGCTACCTGACACGCTGTGCCTGCTATAGGAATGCATCTGGTTGTTCTCACAGATGTCGTTGTTACCTTTGCTGCAATCCATATGGCACTGCTGAGGCTGCAAGGGCTACCAAGCCACCTCGCCAGGTCCGGCGTTTCCGACCAAGACACAAAGTACAGGTGATCAAGAGTCGTTTTCCAAGTCTCACGTTCACCAGCACAATTCCCAAAAGCGAGGGCATCCAAGCAGGATCCAAGTGGCTGGAGGTTGACTGCATGGCATTTGAGTGCCTCATAGCAGCCATGAGTCATGCTGGATTGGACCTGACTCCAGAGAAAATTGCAGTAGAGTTTGAGAGGCTTTGTAACATGTCTAAAGATGATGGAGGCATCCTGGGGAATGCTATACAGTCAAAAACAATTGTTGACATAACTCAGCAGCTAGAGGTTGTGCAAAGGAATATCCGCACATTTGAAAACTTGTACAAAAAACAAACTGAACTGAATTGGTTTCAAGGGATGGAAGTGGTGTTCTCAACAGAAGTGGTTGTGTCTTCATAGCTCAGAGAAAAGCCAAAGCAACGTCAGCAGATTGTGTTAAGATTAGGAAGGATGTGTTTGAGTATTTAGTGACAGACTGGAACATTTAAAAGGAGAGTACATTTTAATTTTGTAGTTACTGAAGGCGTGAGGGAAGGGGCGTATCCTTGCAGATTACTATATCGGAGTGCCTTTCTGGTTGCCTTTCACACAATCAATTTGGAGTGTAGGTGGTCAGGGTTTAGACCAAAGGGTAGAGTCCCATACTAACTTTTCCTAGACACCCAATCCATTCCCTCTCCCCCCCCCCCCCAAAAAAAAAAAAAGGTTCACCAAGGGTTTGTTCAACCATCTGATTTGCACTGCATATTACTGGAGGGTATTCACACTGTTGCTATATTTTAGTAACTTTAAGTCTGATACATTCAACAATTTAGAGTGATGCCACAGACAAGGTCATAAAAGTGCTCAGAATATTACTCAATTGAAACTACTCTAATTTCAACTGTTATCAATTTTCCTATACATAATTATTGTCACAACTATTACAAATATTAATACAGTTTCTAACTAAGTGAACAGTTTGGCTTACAGCAGTTGCTGAATGTTAAGACCAAGTAAAGTTACCAAACGTTTTAGGCAATTTTCAGTGAGCTTAATTTTGTTGAGCTCAAGAAAAATTTCATGAATTTAACATGGTTTGGCTTTGTCATGATTGTAGTTACTCTGCAAAATTGTGGCATTGTATTGTGACCAAAAGTGTGGGTGTCAGTGAGTGATAGAGGATTATATTTCATGTGCATTTTAATGGTTTGAAACATTTTTGATTATCACTCTTTGTTAGTTTAAGAGTGTAAAGATACTGAATCAACATTTGTAATCATCCAAAGGCATGTTTTTTACTTCTATTTATGACAGCTATGCTCCAGCAGAGCATGGGTGACACAGATTGCTAACTTTTCCCCCTAACTGACTTCACTTTTCAAGTCCAACTTTATGGGCTTGGCACCCTTGAATTCCAAGACAAGGGCCTTCAGGCACTCATTGATTCATCTAATATAACAGCTTTAAGATAATTAATGTTAATTTTGCATTACATTATGAAAGTTCATTACAGTGATCAATTTGCTCACTGAAGTGGGTACTAAATGGGTAATATTTCAATCTCTTTAAGTTTACATGAAATTTCACTTATTTTTAAAAGACGTTATGTATTTGATAAGAGTGTGAAAATCTTAAGATTCTCATAATTAGAAGTTTGACTTAAAATGTGCCATTTGTTCCTTAACTTAGATTATTGTTTACAATCACAATCAAATATTTAACCCCTTCAACTCCTATATTTGACCAAGACAGATTTTTCCCTCACAATATCAAAACAAAATCAACCAAACAAATGATGGGAATAAAAAAATATATCATTCAGTTAGTTGATCCAATATTAAATTCTCTAATAAGAATTCAGTTAGTTGATCCAAAAATATCAATCAGTTGGTTGATCCAATATCAAATTCTCACAACTAACATCATAAGAATTGTATGGCAGACAGTAAGGAGAATTGCTAATGAGATCTTAGGAGTTAAAAGGGTTAAGGAGAACAATTGTGTCAGTTGTTAAGATGATTTTAAGAGATTCCTGCTAGCTTTGGATAGCAAAAACTTTTGTCCTCAACAATGTTACCATACCGTGGTGATCTCTAGCATGCAAAAACTTATATGCTTTGGTGAAGTGGTCATATTGTGTTGTATTTTTCAATATTACTCTCAGTGGCAGATCCAGGCCTTGAGCCAGGGGTGGTTTTTTTTGTATGTGTACACCTGCTAGCTTTACTTCCTTCTGTGTGTTTATTTTTTTACCCAAAATAATAGGGTGCCAGCCCCCCCTGCTGCTTCTCCTCTAGATCTTCCACTGACTCTTTTCTGCTAAGAATGACTACTCATTCTAGTTTTTATGTAGTCTTTAAGAGTTCAGTTGACATAAAAATATGATTAAATTAAATGAAAAAGAAAATATTCCCAAGGTTTTCACTTTATATTTCTTCATTCCATTAGACCCAAATCTTATTTGAACTGATTTTGAGGATTGTATATCCCTATTCACAATGTTAAACAATACATTATACTACAGCCATGTCTTCTCATTTCTGGGTTATATTGTTCATGAATGTCCCCTTGGCACTCTATCTTGCGATCCCACCCTTATGTACAATGTACTTCCTGCTGGAATTTTCATGAGTTGACAAATGGAAAATCCTCTCACTGCCAGAACAGAATACTTGCAGCCATAGCTAAACAACAAACAGCTACATATGGACTTTTTCTTTCACCTGTTGGAAAAATAACAAAAGATCAAATTATAGGTCACCAGCAAAAGCCCATTTCCAAATTGTCTTAGGCCTCTTTTTGAAAGCAAGCCCCTCTGCTTATCCTTTCAAGACTATCCAATTTCTCCTTGCATTATCCCCCTGAATCAAACATCAAGGTCAGGAGAATAAAGGAAATGATCACCAACTAAAGATGCTCTTACTTGTAGAACAAGTTCTCCTTATTAACACCTTAGTAAATGAAAAGAGAACAGTATGGAGAATATACAAACTGACGTTAGAGTTTAAAGGGTTAATTTACTATTCACAAGTGAAAGTTTTGAGTTTGTTGTGCACTTTTTGGTAGCATTTAAAGGTTTTTTTCTCTTTTGGTCTGAACTTACCAATTCTTGCTGCCTTCCAAAAAATCCCAAGTAGTCTGTGCAGAAGAAAAAGAAAGATTTAAGCAACTGACCATTTCATACAAATTGTCCTCTTCTTAGGATACTTCAGGAATTCCAGACTGGGATGTTTCAGTTTCAACCTCTTGCATCTTAAGTTTTTATCATAATTTACCAACCGCTGTTGCTAGAAACTGAAAAGAAACTTGCTGCAATAATTTAATGTGCATCTTGATGTTGATAGTTTAAGTTTTAGGCATGTGGACAATTAGATTGCTTCTACGAAAATTTAAAGGATAAAATAATGTCTGAGGTTCTATTTGTGTTTTAATGGACCTTGACTCTGTCTACATCCATAAAATTGTATTTACCAATAGAATATGACAACAACAAAAGTACAACCTGGAAAGGCATTTGTCCTTCTTTCAAGAAGGAAAATCATTTCCGGCCCTGTGTCAACTGAATCTTTATTCGCTCGGAATAGCTTCCAAGCTCCAGCATACACATATACATGTTTACAAATGCATTGCACTTACTCAGTTTACGTAAAAAACAAAATTTGGCGTTACAAACGCACTATTGTACCAAGGACATCTCTATTATCAAATTCACACAAAAATAAAAGCAAAGTGACATTTTAGCGTTTAATCGTACTTCCAACAGATAATTTCCACGTCATCACAGACACAAAACTACCGGCATGACACATTTGAGTCACGAATCGCTCACTGTAGTTGTCTGAGACAAAATTAGAAGCTTTAAATGTAGAAAATTATTAGGATCGCTTACCCGTGTTTATTCTTGTCCAAAAGCGCCGGGTAGATCGATCGAATGTAAGCACATGTACAAATTAACAACAGTACCACGGTGAGAAGACTTTGGAAGTTGAAGATTGCAGACTGGGAAAAGCACAACAAACACAAATGATTAAAAGTGAAAATACTATCTATGGTCCCTTCAATAAAATAATCAGTTCATATGTTGGGAGATGATTTTCTGCCCTACCATTCTTGTCTGCCAAAGCTCTTCACTTCTCCAAACTACAATTCGCCTCACTCACTTTCTCCTATCTTTAATTTTACTTACATGAAGTACCGTCTGATCTAATGCAACTCCGCTAACCAGTTTTCGTTGCGGTCGAGAGTCTTAAAAAATTTACTCACTTTTCCAGGAGCCAAGGTATGGGTTTCTACTTTTCTTAGTTTTCAAGCATTTGTCACTAATCAAATTTTTAAGGAAAAGAAAAACTAGACGGAACTTTTCAATTGAATATCAGAAAGAGAAAAATGGAATCTCTCGGAATGAAATAAAACGAAGAACACGTTCACAGTCTCTCTCTCTCTTTTTTTGCCTCTCCCCCCCCCCTCCCAAAACGAGAGAGGAGCAATTACGACAGTTTGAGGGTAGTCCTTTGCGCGCCAAACTCAGCCGGGATTGGAGTTAAGGGGAGATATTGTTTTAGCCCAAAAGTCATTTTACGAAAATGTCGCGGTAGGAACCGTTTTTCTCCTCACAAGGAGACAACCTAGAAAAATTGACCATTCAACATACCCTGGACGTTACCTCACTCAAAACAGACCATATTTGACCCACTTCACCATCCCGTATCGAGATGGTCCATAAGCATACCATTTTAAGGAATTCCAATCTCGTCCTAAATACACTCATGCAAAGCAAGACAAACAAAACCTTTGAAGCGTTTATTAATTCCATACGAATCAAATTCTTCCTCACTAGCAAAATGTCTTTTCATATCTTTTCGTAGGATTTCTTCCTGTACTCTTAGTTACATCATCCCTAGTACAAATTCTCTTTAGATCTAAATTCGCCGGAGCTAGGGCAGCTTTATTAGACTGATAGCGAGGAAACATAAATAATATGGAACTTATTTTCTTTGAGCACTCTTCTTTCTTTCTAACCGTTTTGTGCTCCAAATAGAAGCTGGGTGGCGCTATACCGGGTATTCTTATGTCAAGCGGTAAATGCAGATGAAAGAGGAAGTGGAGGGTATTGAGGTTGAAGTGGGGATTCTGATCTAAAGGAGGGATGGGGGGAGGAGGGAAGAAGATCTTTTCAACGAGTTCTAGTAATGTTGTCTCACTACTTTTTGACTGAGGGAGAAAAGTCCCATCGTGATTCTTAAATTAACGATGACGTGTTTTGTTTTTTCTGTGCACATACGCGCTGGAACTGCATTTAAACTGCTCAGGAGCTAGAGAAAATGATTACTTTGACCTCAAAGGCTGCTGGATCCATTCAACCTAGTATGATCATGTGTTCTACACAAAACTTGATGAAGTGCTCCACAGTAAGGGCTACCAAGTTAACTCCTTCTTTGTTCTTTCTTAGTGCTCTCGATGCCGTTGATCATACTTGCAATCTCACGCGCAAGGCTCCTGGTTTTACTAAGTTCGGTTTCGCTTTCGTCGGGTTTCAGGATCATCTCTCTTCGATGCACTGGTGCAAGTGCGGGAAGATTCAATGGGATTCCTTCCATCATTGCGACCCGCTGAAGATTGTGTGACTCCGCCATAATCCGTCCAGCTTCCTCCATGATCCTAGACCGGCGCATTGCTCCTGCCTCATCGATCCGTGCCTGTCTGGCTGCAGCCACTTGATGGTTGGCTTCGGAGAACAGCTTGCGCACCTTGGCTTGCTCTTGGGAACTCATGGTGTCATAACCTGCGGACAGTAAAAGTGAAAATAACCGGTCAACATGTCAGACAGTTAACTGCAAGGAAAAGATGGCACAGTCTGAAAGGCTGTTTATTCTGTCAACAAGTGGTAGATTGTTCTGTATCCTGAGCTTCAACCGTTGACCTTAAAGCCTATATTGAATTTGGGGGGGGGAGGGGAAATGAAATTTCTGAGTTCGGAGCCATGGGAAACCCCTACAGGTGATTGAAGTGTGCCATTTTAGATCGCCTCTTAACCATAATAGTCTTCGGTAAAGAAAATCATGCCACTATCATCGAGAGATCGAAGTATGGGTGGGGGGGGGGCCTTAGTTTCACTAAAGCTATGAAAAACACACAAACTGTTACTCTCTGCCTGACAAACCTTTGACAAGGGGTCCACAATCGCACTGGGGACAAGATCCAGGATTTTTAACAATACTACACAGGGAGGGACACTCCGGCAAAATGTCTGGACACCCTGCAATCGGGACAGCACAGGGGAATATTACTTACCGTGACTGAGCAGGTGATCCTTTTATTTTTCTATCCTAGAAAAACCTTACAGTTTCTGAAACAGTCATGCATCTATTGTTTTAGAATATTTACATTGCCTAATTGAAAAAAATAAAAGCCCCCTACAACCAAGCTGTCTAAACTAACCCGTTTACTTTACACTAAAGCGCAGTTCGATTGAATGTCGTAGAGCTAAACCAAACAAAACCACAACAGCCAACCAGAACATAAGAAAATATCACAAGGAACCAATGAGACGATAAAGAAATAAATACGCGGGAAAATGTGAGTTATCTGGTCATGATTAGTTTTAGTTTGAATCTGATTGGTCCTGGAAATGATGCAGGTTTTCTAGACCAATCTCATAGCAAGGTAAATTAAAAGTAACGATATCCCGGATCACTTTCGACAAGTGGTTGAAAATTACTCTAATGATATATTATTGTACTTAATATCTTTGCATAAACAAAGTTGATTCATCTCTCTTACGACGAAGTTGGTTAATGTAATCATTTTATTTGCATTCTCATTCATTATTAAATTATGGTTATTATCAGTTTGCTATCATTTTAAAGTAATAAGTGTTAATTAAAGTTCATAGTCATGAATCGTCACTGAAACTCACACACTTTAGGGTAGTGCGTTCAAATGCAATTATCCCTAATACTGTTATCATTATTTGTTATTCCTTATCGTAGATTTCCCGTGCGCAAAAAGGTTCTTGAGCAACTGCGCACCTGCTCTTTTCTTTTTTCTAACCATTTTTACTGCATTACCGCAGTAGGGTAGGACTAGAACGGAACATTTGCGAACCATGCGAGTAGTCCACCCAATAAATCCCACCCATCCCACCCCAGGGGAGGACATCCATTACACAGTAATCTCGTGCGTGAGAAATTAACGTCTCCTACCCCTAACCTTGCAGGAGACGGGACCTCCATTTATTTGTCCCTATCCGAGAAGACTAGAATATCTGACCATTTCTTGATGTTATAGAAAGGTAGCATATTCTTGTCATTTATTTTAATACCTTGAGTGTTGGTCCGGCCGGGGCTTGAACCCTCGACCTCCCGCACAACAGTCCAGCGCTCTATCCATTGAGCTAACCGGGGGGCTCTTCCACTAACCCGACAAGAACCCTAACTTGTTATCAGTTGAATATTGTTAGGTTAGGGGGGGGTGCGCAGTTGCTCAAATACTAATATCGATCCAACATTCTTGGTAATTTTATATCTTTGAAAATATCGGAAGTTGTCTAACTGTAGAAGCAAGCTTTGTAAAGTGTTTGTTTGTTTTATATCTGCTAAACATTATTGTAAAATTTATCTTGTTCATGATTCCCTACCAGTATTACAGATCTCTAATTTTCGCTCCTCTACAAGTAAATGCCCCGCGAACAATGTGTATTCTGCCAGTTATTTAATGTCAGATTAAGGGGTAGTCGAGAACATCGTAATTAAAGCCTTTAGACACGTAGCAGTCTTCGATGGGAACAAACAATAGTTTTTCCGAAAATACTGAATGAAAGCTTGGCTTTCATCTAAATATTCAAAGTGAAATTTGGTGCTTGTTGTCGGATTATATTTATATTGTTTCCATTTATTGCGCCTTACCACTCTTGGCTGTTGTCGAATTGTTTTTTCTTTTCAACTGATCGGTAACCTTTGTTCGATCTGTTAAAATGGAGAAAAATATCGTCAGTGTAAGACGAGTTGATTATATTTGAAATGACAGCAGACTAACCACCTGACTGGTCGACTGACCTACAGACCGGCTTACTGACGTTCCAATAAAAAGATTCTTGACTGACAGGTTGACCGATTTGTTGACTAACTGACCGACTGCCTGACTGACTGGCCGACCAACCGACCGACTGACAGACCAGCCGACCGATCGACTGGCCGACCAACCGACCGATCGACTGACGAACTGACTGACTGACCAATTGATCGACTGACTGATGGAGAGACTGACTGACGGACTAACCAAACAACCGACCAACCAGAAGACTGGCTAACTGACTGACTGACAGACTTGGTACTGGGGTGTATGGGGTGTGAGGGAAGAGTAGTACCTCTGACGAAAGGACAAGTAATGCTTTCTTGAGTAGCTCTTACGCTTTTGGTCCTCACCTGCACCCGACTCTCATCAGTAGCTCACAGTGGCTGTTTGCATGCAACAGATGGACTTATTAACTGATCAACCGACAGACTGACCCACCGATCGCTCTACCGACTGGTTGACTGGCTGGCTGACTGGCTAACTGCTTTACCAACTGAATTACATACTGAGTGACACACATTCCTGATTCACTCACGTCTTTTGCAGATGAAGCCAAGTGGTTTATAACAGTTGTCATCATCCCATCGTCCCCAGTCATACCGCTGGTACATTATACCGCACTGTTCGTCTTTGCCGTCGTATTGTTGGCCTTCCTTCCAATTTTGGTATCTGCAAACGGAAGAAAAGTTTAAGGTCCAATTACAATTCTACTGTCTGCGTTCGGTAGAGAAAAAGGAAAACGGCGCGACACCAACAAAGTTGATACATACACTCATTCGAAAAACGCTCTAATAACATATTTTAAATTTTAAGGCAGTTCAAAGCAGCAGATACCTGTATCTGGAACCGTCAATCCAGGACCACATTCTTACTTTCTCTTTGTAGGACATTCCGATCCACAGTTTGTTTACATCAGAAGACTTGCGCAGTTGTCTTGTGATAAACTCGTTTTCTTCTTTAGTGTGGACACTTAGCAGTTCAGAATTACAAAGCTTAAAAATTTCAAAAACAAAGAATTGTTGAGATCAATTTTCACACTGATATCATTTCGAGGGAACCACTTTTGAACTTTGCTCTAAAAAGTGGACGACCCTGGAAATTTTGAAAAACTTTTTCTGCTTAATTCAAAAGCCTGAGGCCGAAAAGATCTACAACCTTAGCCTGCTCTGGGCTTTCAATTGCTAAGACTAAGTGCGATGGTAAAAGAAGCGATACAGCGGTGGGGGGAAAAAGCGAGGGAGGTCTGGGTCGAGTTGAGTAACCCAAGCCGACTAAGTCTCCCTCGTTTCCGCCCCGCTCCCCCTAGGCTCTCAGGCACCTGTGCAAACGAAGGGAGGAGGCTTGTTCTCACGCATGCCACTCCTCCGTAACGCATGCCACCGCGCTCAAAATGGAATCCCAGGTTCACTAGACCCAAGGGACCTCGGGAATAGACGCGCGACTCCGGGAAATCACGGGCGCCGGAGTGGCATGCGTGAGAATGTGCCCCCTAGGCTCTGAGGCTCCTGTGCAAACGAAGGGGGGAGACTTGTTCTCACGCATGCCACTTCTCCGTAACGCATGCCACCGCGCTCAAAATGGAATCCCAGGTTCATTAGACCCAAGGGACCTCGGGAATAGACGCACGACTCCGGGAAATCACGGGCACCGGAGTGGCATGCGTGAGAATGTACCGCCGCTACCATCGCACCGTTAACTATTTTCTCGGTGTTACTAACTGAACACCTGGAGTAGACTTTACAACCTAAATTGCGTTTACCTTGCAGGCTCTGACAGAGTCAAACCAACTTTTTGTTTCATCTGTAGCGATCTGGTATTCAAACTTGCCTTCTCCATCCATTGGGACAAAGTTATCGCATTTCGCATAAATGACGTCTGATAAGAACAAACAAAAACAAAACATGGCGATGGTGAAGTGGGTAATAACGACGATTATTTCATTCCCCACCCACTCCTCCCTTCCATTTACCTCCTCGTGTCATCTTCACCCTTGCAACATCGCCCGCATCATCAGGCCTCAGAGCCAGCGTAAATTCCCCGTTTAACTTCAGTGGCTCATCATTCTTAACATCCACAGCTCTCAGGACGATTCTCTTGTACTCATCCCCAGGCTCCAGGCGAGCGTACTCTACTTGAGATTCATCCACATCCAATGTGGTGGCCGGGAGAATCTGATCCGGACTGACTCTCACGTGGCCGCCGGCGTGGTTTATGAGCTTTACGTAGAACCATCTGTTACCCGCCCCTGATAGAGTGAACATTGCACATAAACGATGAACAAGGTGCTGAATGTAAAGCAGACCTCTACTAAGTGTTGAAATGAAGACGGAATCGTTTTGGTTTTCCTTTACTTTGCTCCGTCATTAGAGCAATTTTCAACTGAGTGTCGAAAGTAATCGGCGATTGCTTTGTTTTTACCCTAATCGCTCTGTGATTGGTCCAGAAATCTTGCGCCACTTTCTCAACTAATCAGATTCAAATTTGAAACCAATCTCGATTTAGTCGTTTGCGTTTTCCTGCGCTGAAGGTTTGCTTGTTTTTTTTTTTTTTTTAAATTCCAATTGGCTGGTAGTTATTCTAACCTTTGTTCTGTCTGGCTATAATGGTTACTTTAGTATTTGTTTTTAGTTGAAAATTGCTCTCCTAACAAGTAGGAAACTAGCTTTCAGCTTCCAGTAGTGATTAACTCTCACAAGGCAGAAAACAAAGAATATACGAAAGTGAGTTATTCTTTTCACGATTTCCAATTAAAATGAAGGGGACACGTTTGAAGTTTCCTTATATTTGACTTTAAGAATTACGGAAAACTGACGTAACCACACTTTGGTTGACTTACTGCTCAAGCATTATACTGACACCTTAACAAAGGTTATGAAAAAATATGACGCGAACCAAGTTGTGACCATTAAAAAAGTTTTTTGGAGTCAATACATGCGTGATATATAAAACTGAAATCACACAGATTAAGACTAGGGAGCCATCCATTGTACAGAAAGACAAGCGTTCAGTTTGCTGTATGTTCAGTTTTGTCAGCTGTTGCGAGGTTTTTTGTGACTTAGTTGTTTGGATGGAAATTTGAGTGATAACAAAATGAAGCACTTGCCTTGACTCTTGACAATGTGGCCGTGTCTTCCATGCAGGATACCACTCCTTGAGTCTACAGTCAAAGAGAATATACCAGTAGTGGCATCAACACAAAGAGAAATTGTCTACAAAAGTCTAAGGTACAATAGACCATTGCCACGAGGAGAGCATTGTTTCGTTTAGTAAATGGGCGTTGCCTTTGATGATAGATATATTTTAATTACACGACTCGTGATTGACATTAATTCCGTACAATAATTTAAAAGTGTTAGCTTATCATGTTTATAATCTGTTCGCTTACCCCAATCTGCTAACCTGAAGTGAGAAACTTGTTTTTACGACCCGCCATAGAAGTAAGTTTCCAATCACGTTTTTCTTCAATTTTGCTACGAGATTAAGACTTAATTTGCGTTTTTCAGATTTCGAATTACAAATGTATTTCTCTTAGATCGAATAATTATTAAAGCTTGGATAATAGTATACGGTTTGTGATGGTCGTCTGAGCTGACCAGTTCCGAGTATAAGGAACCAACCATATTAAGCCACCTCTTCCCCTCCAGCAAATGAAATTTTTGTTTTTGCAATTTAAACTCATCATTATGATCCCGGCGTTATTTCCCTAGGAAATCAAAATGCCCTCATAATAAAATTCCCCATCTAGGAACCAGTCTTTGTTTGTCGACCTGCGGGGAAGGGGGAAGGGGTCGGAGAATTTTGAGTGTGTCACGATAGTCTACCTGATCCCCCTATAAGGCTTAGTAACATTCCCATTTACCCTCCCTCCCCTCCCTCCTTATTGACGGTTAGTTAGTCCTAACTTTAAAACCTGTTGGCGACGATTGATCCCTTCTCCTTGCCCCCAAGAAACCATGTGATTTCTCCCACAATCCTCCCCGCCCCCTCCTTCTCCAGGCGATAATGACTGGTTTCTTAATATGCGATGATGTTTTCTTTTATGGCGGAAATAAATTGTCATGGACGGTGGAAAAAGACGTCGATACGTGAAAGGAATGGCATGTGAGAAGTTCTCGCATACAACATCACGCATCATATCATATTATCTCGCATGCAGAAAGGTTACCTTCGCGTGACACGTACGCCTCTTGTGTGTCATCATAAGTAGTTGGCGTGACGTAGAACTTTTGGTCTCCGTTGATGATCAGCGGCTTATCTGTATACTCGTCGACAGCCTTCAGAGTGATCGTAGCCTTTCGGTCAGTCTCGTTCAAGAGCTGATGGTAGACAAAGATTTCTCCGCTGCTCAGTACGGCGCTCGGTAGGATCTTGTCGGCCTTTATTTTGACTCGTGTACCTACTTGATTTACAACTTTCACGTTCAACCATTTCCTCGCCTCTGAAAAGCAATGAAACTTTGCGTACATTTTCAGCTTCCTGGCACGGCTTGTTTTGTTACTTTCCAAATTCAGAAGGGAGAATTAGAGATTAGATCGCATGAGTTAAGGGGTAACTTAAAATGTAAGTCTTACTTTTACTACTCTTCTGATCATGGTGACGTTGTTGATGATGATGATGATGATCATGATGAGGATGATGATGGCGATGGTGGCGTTTACCTCGGGACTCTTTCACGAAAACCTTACTCACGGGGCCAGGGGCAAAGTCACGCCTTGCTAATTCACCGGTTGAAATGTCAGCGGATTCTGGCTGATTCATGTTATCCATATACGTCTTGTAGGCACCTTGGAAGTTCTTAGAATGTATGAGACCTGGAAAAGTAAGCATGATATAGAATGATAAATCAGGGATTTCGTTTAAAAGAAATACTGCAGTTTTCGCTACCTTAATGCATTCGATTGGAGTTTTAACCCTCCAACTCTTAACTCACTGATGATATTTTCTTCAGATTTTCGTATGGATATTGAATATGGATATTGAATATCGCCGGAGGGGAGGGGGTCGTGGGATTTTTGTTGTGTCATAATAAGATTTTCTTGATTTCCCCTCTCCCCCTCCGCCCCCTCGCTTGAGGCTCTGTAGTATTCTTATGATTCTCCCTCCTTGCATAGCAATATTCTATTGTCCCCCCCTTTATATTCTGTTAGCGACGACTGATCCCCATCCCTACCTCTGAAAACCACGTGATTCCCTAAAAACCCTCCGACCCCCCTCCCCCTTACCATAAATGATGATTGTTTCTAGTCTCGTAATCAGACCTTTAACGGCCAAAGGTTGATTTCAGTTACAGTGAACGGCAGGACCTGGGTACGAGATAAAACTGGTTCCTTTTTAGTGAAACAAATTAATCATTGGCCCAACTGCTTTGCAAACGTTTAAAACAAGAGAAGAACAAACAGGCTGTAAACGTTACCTAAGATTCGGTCGAACCATGGACCCGGGGAGGGTGCATTTGAGCGGCCATTGGAGTCACTTTCTATGGAGTTATCTGAGTTATCGTCGTCATTATCTGGGTAGAATGAAAATAGTCATGGCATTTATTAGAACCTCTAATAAATACTCTCTTTTGTTGTATTTCAAATAAATCTGCATGATATAGTGCTATTCCAGGAAATTTAAGAAGGAATTTCATGATTTCATTACAAATTTTTATCAGTTTCTTCAAAACAACACGTTTAGCGCACAAATCGAATAATGGCCGAGGAGTAAGTCAATCGAAAACTGCGCTTCACACACTACATGAAAAAAATGCCTAGAAACTATGGTTCTTTAAACCGTGGCTTTTAATGTTTAACAGCTAAACACGAGCAAGACATGGGTGCCAGGAACGTATCATCCTCAAAATGAAACGAAAATGGTGGATCTGGTGAAAGAACAATTTTCAATTGTGTCGAAAGTAATCTGGGATTGGGTTGGTTTTTCTTTACTTCGCTCTGTGATTGGTTCGGCAACTTTCAGTAATCCCTTACCCAATCAGAAGCAAAATTAAAACCAATCACAACCGGGCTGGTCACGCGCGTTTTCCCGCGCTTTACATATTAAGCTTGCTTATACCTTCAGTTTTCATTGTCTCTGTGGGGTATTTTCGTTTGGTCTGACTGATTGTTAAGATAGCTTTGGTTTTTGTGTTACGACACTCTCATTCGAAAAGCGTTCTAATTACCAACTTTGACACAACAAAATACACATGATCCAGATTAAAAAACCAAATATCGAATTGTAGAGTAATAAAAAACTGGCTTTCTGCAGATTAAACATTTTCCTTTTTATTTATCACTGTAATTATAATAATGAATCAAAAGTAAAAACATCAAAAGTAAAACAGGTTCGAATCTGACAATTAAACAGGTTATAATCATAAAGTCGGTCATGCAAGGAAAAAGTCCAAAATCTAACTGTCTAAAACCGTACTTTTATGATTTTCCACAACCGAAAAAATCACTGACACATAACCGGTGATGAAAAACAAAATCGGTTTGGGATTTGAATCAAAGCATTTGGTAAACGTTTTCTGTGATAAATAACACTCGATGAATAAAAAAGATGTTTCGCTCGGACGAGTAAAAGACTATCTTATCTTTCTCACTGTCAAGTTAGTCAGATAGGGGTTTCCATGTCAAAGAAACATGTGATAGTAAGTTAGTCGCGACCAAATTAAGCATTTACCTGCAAACACCGAGACAATGGCTACCAAGCCTAATAAACAACAGCCAAAAACATGTCTTTTCATCTTCATGTTCCAAAAGGCGCTTGTGGAGAAGTGCGTCAAACAGGCACGTCCCTCGTGAAAAAAAACCGTAATTTATTCCACTTGAGAATTCGCAAATATTACATCAGAAGACAAGGGCGTAGCGAGGTCAACCCACCAGCGACAAAACCCGGCTAAAACTTCAAATTACTCGACCGCCTTGTCAAAGCGCCACCAATGGAGCAGAGGTACGCTTTTGCTACGCCCCCCAGCCAACAGGGCGTTTCTCATGAGCAGGTAAACGAGCAGTAAAATGTTCCGTGATGAGATCGAGAGTAAAAAGTGATTTTTATGAAGTAGAGCTCTTGAAAATAATGCATGACATTTAAAAAAGGACGATTGATCGTAGGCTGTGTAGAACGTTTGATCAACACATCTATTGGCGGGTTTCTTAACCACATTCTACTGGAACAAGGTCGATAAGCGCAGGTTTGTTGGGTCACTAGGCACGTAATTGTTGTTAGACAAGCCTGAATATTAAGAGAGCCTGTAGCAGGTCGAGCTCACAAAGTGCGATGTCCCAGAACGAAAAATGACCTTTGGTATGACAAATCAAACACGTGTCGAACGATTCATCGATTTAACTTAACTTCTTTTTTTTAATTTCTATCATGTGATTTCTTTAAAATTACATGACGCTGTTGTTTTTAACTAATATCAGACTTGGTAGATGAGCCCGAGCAGAACACGACAGCGGTCTTGAATTTGAACCATTCCCTCAAAACAGCAATCAAGTGGAAAAAGGTCAAACGTTTGTTTAAAGTGACAGGATATAACAGGACAGGATAAAAAAAGGATTTTGACATTGGCTGGTAGTTTCTCATGGTAGGCGGCGATGCAATCCACAAAATCAAATCGATGAACCACCTCATTACCTAAACTGAACAAATGTTTTTTGGGATCAAGTCGTGATAGTAAGTCAGCTTACAAACCAGAACTTGAACTCGATATTTCTTACCGAAATATCAAGTAAAAACAACTAAAACCCACTGGAACCACCTTAAATCGTCTTTGGAGTAGTAAAATAAGTGGTTATGCTCTCTTGGAACAAAGCAGAGGCATATTATGATTCACAATCCAATTAAAAAAAAAAGGTTTTAATGAATTTGTCACATTTGAGCGAAGCTAAATTAACAATATCCTACTAAATCACAAATAGGGTTTATTGTCTGGATTCTTGTTGAACCCTTTCTTGTCCAAATGTCTTGGTTCGAAACACAAATGACACAGTATCACCAGCTTCCTTTAACGCGTCGTCCTTCAAGAGAATAAGATATATTGGAATTATTCATTATAAGAGCTTCAACACTGCTGCTAAAACAAGCATTTATAAGCAGTTATACTTCAAAACATACAGGCCGATAGTTTCTAAAGAAACTGTTTGGGGCTGCGTCGGTGGGGGTAACGAAATAATTTGGATATATCAACAAAGTTGAAATGGTAAATTGGCCACCGTAACGATTACAAAAGCTGACGTTTCGAGCGTTAGCCCTTCGCTCCGACGAAGGGCTAACGCTCGAAACGTCAGCTTTTGTAATCGTTACGGTGGCCAATTTACCATTTCAACTTTGTTGATATATCCAAATTATTTCGTTACCCCCACCGACGCAGCCCCAAACAGTTTCTTTAGAAACTATCAGCCTTTATTCATTTGTAC